GTGAGTTGCCATCATGACCGTCCCGCCGGTGGGCGAGATGAGCGTGACCATATCTCCGTAAGGTAGCGACGCCCATATCTCGCACCTGCTCGACCTGGGCTCTAGTGGGTCCGCACTCAAGGGAGACTGATAGCGCATCAACCATCGCCACCATATCCGTCGCCTGCAGTAATCATCGATCAGTCAGATCTATGGCATACAAATATGGAAATTGTTGAAAAGGAGTAGAAAAATAATAACTCACATATCCGCTAATGATGTCATATGCTGGATGGTAATGTGTGGATGGTGGTGCGTAGCTGGGGTTGATGAAGCGTCGTGTGATACGCCTGTACCACACCATGTACGGATCGTCGGGATCCATAGCCCCTTGCATTAGATCACCTCCAACGATGAACTCCAACCGTTGCTCCCATAGCTGAAGGAAACGCCAATGCTCCAGCGCCCAGCTGGTCTCCCCCTTTCCCCGACGATCAATGCCGTGAAGCTGTACACTAGTGTCACACCCCTGTGGGATAGTCTGGCGTAGTCCAAACTGCCTCATGACTCGGTCGGGCAGGTGACTCTCCACAACCTCGAAACAGATCAGGGGGACCCTAGCACGCCACTCCGCCTGATGGTCTAGCAGATGTGGAGGCATGGCATCTACCAAGTCAGGTACATACGGGTCCCATGTCACCTGTAAATACACATCAACAGTAATATTATGAATATGTTAGTTCGCAACAAGTACAATGTTAAAACAAAAAAGCTAAAACTGTATTTTAAATTGTTACCTGGTCCTCGGTGAGTCGGTCTAGGGCGTCTCGGTAATACGGAAGACCCCTCGCCGCATGAGCATGTGAGTGAGTGTGAGAGGGAGGAGGGCAGCAGCAAGGTGGCGGCAGCAGCGGTGGCGCAAGGGTGGGCGGCGGCGGCAATGCGGGTGTTTGAGTACGGTCGTGGTTTAGTGTGAGAGGGAGGAGGGAAAGCGTTGAGGTTGAGGTTGAGTTCTTGCGCATTCTGCTGAAGTGAACATGCTGATATATGGCCATGAAACGCTGTCCCGGACAGCGTTTCATTTAAAAAAAAAAACAGGGCATAAAACGCTGTCTCGGACAGCGTTTTACCCATTGAATTTTTTTAAAAAAAAACCCAAGGATAAAACGCTGTCCGAGACAGCGTTTTATGCCCTACTGAATTTAAAAAAATACAGAAGGTAAAACGCTGTCTGGGACAGCGTTTACCAGTTGAATTTTTTTTTAAAAAAAAACCAGGGGTAAAACGCTGTCCGAGACAGCGATTTACCCTGGAAGCTTAGTTTGGTAAATAGTTTTGCCACGCAACCATTTTTGTCAATAGTTTACGTTTAGAGCTCAAATTGGAAAAACGTTCAAAACATTGATTGTGTCATGCAAGTGTATTTGAAAGATTCTGTCGAACATGTGCATGCAACAGGCACCCATATTACAAGCAACTCTACCTTTTCCAATAATTGTAATGAATCGTACGTATTAATTAAATTCTTCAATGAAAACACTTGTATATACTCCGTAGTTTATATAAAGAGAACAATAAACAGTTCAAATAAAACATTGTATATTTTGATTGATTATTCATACAAAAATGTTCATACATAATTAGACTAAAAATCAACTATTTGAAATATTGTAATGCAATAATAAAAGAAGAATTATTAAACAATTTTCATCTTATGCTATAATATGATGCATGCGATGTCAAAGTATAATAATAAGTGTTAAAATTAAATTTAATTACTGATTTGGAAGGATAAAAGATCTCAGTAGTTGATTGTAACTGTCTACAATCTTGCAATTTTCGGCTTGCTATTTTGTAACAAAATTAAAATGAGTAGAACATAGAGATATGTATGTCGACCATCATAACATTTGACCTGTAAATCAAATCATCTATTCTTTTTTCCCATGGGACAAAGGTAAAAAAAAGGTTTAATAAAAACAAAGTAGAAAATCAAGGACATGAAAACCTAATTGGTTACACACTCACACTTAGGCCAAGCAACCCCACTCTTTGATTGATTGAAATAAAAATGATCTGATCTCCTCACTTCCCACCTCCATGTCAAAAAGAGAAAAAAAAAATAAAAAAAATAAATCTATAGTTTCAAAAAAATTTAAATTATTTATTTATTTATTTATTTATTTATTATTTATTTTGAGAAAAAAGATACTCCCTAAATATATGCCATAAAACCTTAATAGAGGGGAAAAAAATACAATTACAACTAGACAAGCTAAATGGCCAATTGCAATGTCAGTGATTTGAGGTGTCAAATTGCTGAGAATCTTTTTTTTTTTTTTTTTTTTTTTTCCAGCAGTGACCCCACATCTCTTAGCTCACCTCCCTCTAATTTTAATTAATCTATTCATTACATGCTGTTAATACTTCTATATATACTCCTCTCTTACATTTCATCATCTCATCAATTCATTTTCATATTCTTCTAAGCTTATCAATATTCTCTGCTCTCATTTTATTTCCCTATTTTTGTTCATTCCATATCAATTTTCATTTCCTACAAATGGCCACTGAGGTACATCTCCTACATTTTTTTTTCGCTCTTTTGTTGTTTAAATTTGTACAAACATTGTTTCTGTGTGCATTTAGACACCCTTGAATGTTATTAGGGTGTTATATATTGGTTTTAAAAACTGTTACGTGCTTATATTTTCTCGATTTATTATGCATGGTTTTTCTAGCAATACTCATCTTGTTTGATCACTAGAAATTCATTAGTGCGTGCTACACAACTCTTTATTCATGATTTTCTCTTAGAAATTCATTAGTGCTACACAACTCTTTATTAATGATTTTCTCTTAGGAAAAGTTCTAAGGTTCATGTTTTTTGTTTTTCTTCTTTTTTTTTCTAGTGTGCTTGTTTTTTTCCAACATTACAAATTAACACCAAAGTATAGATTTTGATGATGATCCGTACGATTGAAATAAAACTAATCTGATCTTCTGCTTGATAGTTAGACTTGAATTGTTGGATAATCTCAATCAGATTAATAAGATTTCATCATAAGAACTATGTTTGGATTAATCATCCTCCTTAAGCACATACAAGTGCTAACAATATTATTAAGATAAGCATAAAAAGTGAATTTAAAATTGATGTGAAAAGAGTTATATACACAAGTTTTAAAGATCTGTTTTTCTGATTGATCATTGCTTTTATATCAACCTATATGCTTGATCATTCAATAAGATGAATTTTTGGTCAAAGGTTTCAAAAGTTCAATTTTTGAAAACTTTCAATAATAAGTGCTAACCATTTCTATGATAAGCAATTATATAAATACATGCACTATTAAGAGAATTTTGTGTAAAGATTAATATATATGAATATTGTGATTTTCAAGATCGATTATCGATATGCTTGGCCATTCTACTACCTCCGTTTTTTATTATTTACAAAATAGATATATTTTATACCTCACAAATAATAACCATTTGCTGCAAATAATAAAAAATGGAGGTAGTATAAGATGAATTTTGCTGGTTTTGGCACGAGAACAATTTCCAGCTTAAAGACTAAATTTCGGTGATGTTTTCTTCTGCACACAGGTTGCACCAAGCACTACATTGCCTGAGGTTCAGGCACCTGCACCAGTTGAGGTGATCAAGACCGAGGCCCCAACCACAGAAACCGCGGAAGTTGTAGAAGCACCAGTAGCTGCAACTGAGGCTGCACCTTCTGAGGAAGCACCAGCAGAAGTTGCTGCTGAAACCGTTGAGGAAGCTGCTGAAGTCCCAGCAGAAACCGAAGCTCCAGCAGTAGCAGCCGAGCCAGAAAAGGAAGCCGAGGCAGAGGTAAAGGCAGAGGCAGAGCCAGAAGTAGAGAAGAAGGAAGAAGTAGCTGCCCCACCAGCTGAAGAAGAGAAGGCTGCAGTTGAAGAGACCACCGAAGTGACCCCCACCGAGGCCACTGAAGCACCAGCAGCTGAAGAAGCTAGCAACGTCGAGGAAGAGAAACCCGCTGAAGCACCAGCAGCAGCTGCAGCAGAGGAGACCACCAGCACTGAGGTTCCAGTTGAAAAGTCTGAAGAGTAAATTTGATCAAAATGGTGTTTGAGATGGTCTCTTTTTCTCTAAATATTTCTTAGGGTTGCATTTGGGGTTGATCAGTTTTTTTCTTTTTACAAGAATTTTATTTACTTACTAGTATTACCATTGCTATTAATATTTATTATTTTAATTTATATTGAGGTAAAAGCTTTGGTTGGGTTTTTTGAAGATCATTATATATATATACACATCAAAGCTATTGGGTTATGATGTGCCCTTGCTTATGAATGCTGGGTACAAGTTTCAACCCAAAGAGCAGGGATTTGAGAGTTTATATTGTATTGGCTTTGGTAATGGAATAATAATGATATTATTATAATTATAATTCTGAGGTTATATGTGATATATATACTCTCATTCCTAAATTTATGTTATTCTGTTATGAAGAAGCGAATTTAATTAACGAAGGTAACTTACAAATAAAACCTTCACAAAATACCGAAAAATAAGTTTCATGATGAAGAACATAGAAAAGAGCCAAATGAAGGTCAAAAATCAAATTTTAAAAGCTTCATTGAAACTTCACCCGAGTCAGGCAGCCTGAGTCCTGAATTTTACAACTATTCAGAGTTTTTTTCAGTGTCTGATGATGGGAGTTTACAGAATGTCAAAACAAGGTTTCAAGGGAAAAGAGATTATCTGAAAAAACGATATAAACCATGGAAACGTCAAAACGAGTGCCCCTGCACCATCACAAGTATAACAATGTAGGCAAGACGAACATAACAACCAGCCTCCAATCTGCAGTCCGCCACAAGCAGGATCAAGAAAGACCTAGGTTATGCATGCCTTTGACCACGTAGCGGTATTTCAACAATACTTCTATGTTTTAGTTGAGATTGTCTGACAATACTTAATACAAGAGACTCCAAAAAAAAAAAAAAAAATATCCTTTGAATTCAGCACTAAAATAGCTAGAAAAATTCAACATTCATAACAGTTATTTCAGATTGAAAATTCCAATTTTTAATTCATTCATGAAAATGCTGTACACCAAGGGCGTTACAATAAAACATCCAGAGAAGTTTCAGAGCGGCAAATCTTCATCTGAGTGAACTTTTTACATAAATTTTATGCAGGTAAATGTTCATAATGAGTATTACCAAACTTTTTCAAAGCAAGAGCACCAATTCTGTGGCACAAGCTCGCATCCTAAACTTACTCTAAGATATATGTACAAATTCTAAGCCAAAGTCTTCATTTATGTGCAGATCCCACCCCCAAAATCTAGCTGATGTCATCAAGATCACCTGTCACCAAGTGCCAAAGCTGCAACCTATATGTTCTTGGGTGATCAAATGGAGGCGTTGTCGCATGACAGTCTTTGATGGATACGGTGGGATACAAATTCGAAAAAAGCATGTATGAGATGAGGGCAAACAATTTTGGGAATCCAAGGATTTGTAGATGCACAGTCGAGATGAAAGACCACTGAAACCCTCAATAGGAAGGTACTTAATTGATGTCCAGAAGAAGAGGAGAGTTTTTTTCTGCTCAGCGTTAAATTGTCCAACCACCTGAAAAGATTTACAGAGTTTCATAAGTACTTCAATAGACAGCATACAAATTGTATAACTTGATTGAATTGCACCTAGAAAAGGTGAAGAAACTTCATAATACTTAAATGTTGGTAAATCAAGAAGCAAATAAACACATTTGCATATAATATATAGACTAGAACTAGAATTTTTTTTTTTTCAACCTTAATCTCCAGCGATTTATCCAAAATCATTAGCCTCAGAATTTTCCATTTTCTTTATTTCATAACAACTTTATTTCCTCAAATCTACAGATTGCCAAAAGATTATCAATGCTTAGAACTTTATTTCCTTAAATCTGCAAATCGCCAAAAGATAATCAAAAACTCCAGACATGTCTTATCCATTTACCAGGGCATATGCCGGATCACAACGAATGAGGAGAGAAAAGGGGGTTTCCGATGGCTGAAAGCTACTCTGGTTTCCAAACTGCTCGGAGAAGATTTTTGCAGCATTATTAAAATAAAGTGCTTTAACTAGGAACTTGTCTATGCCTATCATACTGAACACACACATAATATAACCTTAATCAATCCCTCAATGACACCCTCCCGCCCTCCACGGCTCCACCCCAAGAAGGATAGCAAGAGAAGAGGAGGGGGGGGGGGTTTGGGGGAGACGGACAATGAGAAGTCTCACATGTACAATAACCAAATTACTTCTATATAAGAAGAAAAATAACACAGTAAGCAGTAACAATAATCAGCATATGTTCTACTACATACCTCCCAAAACCATTTTATCTGAGGATCAGATTTTTTATAGGCATAATAATCAGTATGTGACTTCCAATCTTCAACACATATCTCACTTTCACTTCCATGCAACATCCAATCAAGATCTTCCAGCTCCAAGCTTTTAAAAAAGGTTTCACGCAGATTTGCTTCAGAAAGAATGTCAGCAAAACCTTGAGCAAAATACGATACTTGTTCAGAAATAGAGGACACAAAGTGATGCTGAACGATAAGGTCAACATATTCCTTCCTGTTCTTGCTGTTCACAGAAATGTCTTTTCCTCCAGGACAGAGTTCTACAACATTCCTTTTCCCCAGCTCTTCAATATCAATACTAAATGTCAGCCCTAAACCATCAGAATCCACAAAATCAGCATCCATCTCCAATATTTGTTTGCAGCTACTATAGATGCGAGGATCTGCATCCCGTATATCTTCGATGGAAACTTGTCTTCCTGCCAGTTGCAAGAAAAAGACACGATCCAGAACAACACCAACTTGAATTTTATGCTTCAGAGCCAAAGCAATTACCCTCCCGGAAAATAGGAAGTATCGAAGATGTAGAGGATGTACCTTGGATGCTGCACAATAGATAAAGAAATGTTAAGAATAAATATCAGATTTATACAATGGCTTGCCCCAAAAAAAGAAGTACTAGAAAAGATTTGAAAAACAAAAGAAAACAATTTTTTCCTCACCTTAAGCAAGGCAAGTATAGTTTGCATAAACAGTAACGAGTAAGACAATAAACAGGCTTTAACACGTCGAAACAAAAGAAACCAAGCTCAACGCACTAATTTATCAAACATTGAGCAAGCACTCTATATGTGCTGGAAAATGATACCTTTAAGTAGGGATACATAACAGAGTAGTACTGACTTAATATTTTGATATTAGGGATATGCATGCCATGATGGAAAACCTTTAAGTTTACATATATTGTGTTACTTGAGTTAAAAAAATGATTCACACTAATGAATCGTGCAAAAGGAAGTTCCCTCTCCCAGTCTCCTGCCTCAATATCTATATTGGGTACTTTCATTCCTCTAATTTAGTCCTCAACACCCACCATTTCTTCACTGCTTTCCTTAACACTTACTTTTGAGGAGGCTGGTCTTCTTCACTGCTTACCTCAACAGTTACTTTTGAGGAGGCTGGAAAGACCAACTCTGTTTTCCAGACAAAACTTCTACAATACTTTGCTATATACCCAATTTTAGATAAGTTTTCCATTGTTTGGGTGCATGGAAAAATATATAAATTGAAAAGGTTATTCTTTCATTTTAAAAAATAAGAGAAAAAAAGAAAAGAAAAGAAAACTAAAACCAAAAGCCACCCCCCTCCCATATGACATCAATGTCAACATCCAACTCCTCCACTCCATTAATTGATCAACATTAGAATTCTGCAAGAACCCACCATCTCCATGATATCCACTATCAGATATGCTCTAAACTAAATCAAAAAAGTTGCACAAACAGCACACATTGGATGTTGTTGTTCTGCTAGAAAAACCCTCTGGAGGAAGCTGATGTAGTCCTCAAATTTAACTCAGTTATTAGGAGAATATAAGACAGGGTGAGTGAGCATTGGTCAAGGAATGAAATTTTGGATCTTCCAAAATAAGGGACAATTGTTTTAACAGGACGGAAAATACTTTTAAATTCAAAATTTCCTATTGATGAAAACTATCCAGGGTAACATTTTATATCCAACAAAACAGAGCCTTACTTAGCTACTCAGCACACAAGGATACCTATTGATGAGAGGACATGCTGATGCACAACTATGTCATTCGAACATGTATTTGAACCCCTATTACTCCACATCTTCACAATTCAGACCAAATGAAAGAAATTTCAATGTGTCAAATGGTAGAAAATACATATAAAGTTGGGTGTTTTCAAGCATAGACAATCAATCATCTGTGAGGTGTATGAAAAAAGATATCTTAGCACAAGAAACAGGGACTCTCTCAGTCAGACTTAACTCAGACAGATGCAACACTCCACCACAAAGATATACAATGATTGACAACATTTATACAATGATGTTGCATGAACTTAGTGTGCAATCAATCAACGTGACATAAATTTGCTAGAGTTTTATGACAAGTTTCCTTGTGCTAACTCAACTAATGAAATCACAGACAGTCTCTTTATGAGACAATGTCAGGCACCAATGCTATCAAATTCAATTCATGGTGGTCATTGCATACGATTGAAAACGGGAGTAGAAGTATATGAGCTAAGAGGAATTTTCTTATATCAAACTGCACAAGAGACTACAAACACTTGCCTTTACTAGGGAAGAACCTTCGACGGTCCAAAGGGCAAGATGCAAAAAGAGCTCTTTCTGGATCAAAAATTGCTTGGCATACTAAGCAAAACCACTCCCTTAAAACCCCAGGACCTGTAGCTTCTTCATTTTTGAATTCCATAAAGAGACCAGCCTGCAGTGTAGATGGGATTGCAGTAGATATATACTCAAATGATTCAGCCAGCAAATTGGACCTGTCAATCAACATCTCGAGCAATTCATCATAATCTTCTCTCACCTCCGGAAACAGTAATGAAACTAAATGCCTCCTTGATTGAAAATCCAGGTCATCCTTATGCTTAAGAAGCCAGCTATGGTCATCAACACGCCTGGCATACCTGACAATAAGGCCACACAGTGCTGTCTTACTTTGTCTCAGTGTGGTCCATAAACGGCCTTCTGATTCTGGGTTTAGTAGAGAAATACTATGCAATTCCTTTAAAATAGCAAGATACTGAGACCACCCAAGTAGATTAGCTTCCACAAACTTTTTTCCCTTCACACCTAAGCAAAGCTCCACCTTTTTAAGACATTTGTCAATCCAACAGTGTAGATCATTGAAAAGAGTATTGAGAAGATCATCAAAAAGGTTGATTTCTCCCTTAGCCCGATATGCTCGTTCTCTTTCAATGAAAGTTAACACAGGTTGCAGAAAATTAGAGAAATCGATCACATCTCGATGCAAAGGCCCGAGGCTGGAATCTGATACAACATTCAGCTTCAAGTCCTTCACCAACCTTTCCCCTACTTCCTTCAAGAGAGGAAACACAGCTCCAATAGGGATCCCATACAACTCTTCGGACCCATCATGACCATACACTTCCTTAAACACATTCGTCACCAAAACATTCACCATCATTGACCCAAGAGTGCTCCTGCAATGTATATACAGTAAGTCATCTTCCGTGGCCAGCTTCCTAAGCAATTCACAGAACACCAACACCGTCTTAGCACAATAAGCTCTCTCACTCCCAGTCCCTTTTAAACTCTTCATGAAATTCACAAACGACCGGATACATTCCTCCGCACACTCCTGATTCGCCCTCTCTTTGGACGCATAAAGCATGACTAAACTCTGAGGAGCACAAGAAGTCATGAAAATCTCACAATAATCACACTTATCAATGCTCCTATTATTAAAAGCATCGGCATAACTCTCCTCCTCCTCCTCATCATCGTCATCACCATTATTCGTTCCTTTAATTTTACGAACATCTCCTTTCTTACCATTATTAACAGGATGATATCTATTATCAAGTGAAAGTGTCATAAAACCCTTCATCTGACTCTTAATCTTATTAGTATAATAAGTAACATAATTCAAATTAACACTCCTATAACTACTACGAATGTCATGAATCATACCGCCAATTACGACCCAAGCTTGAGGATGCTTTGCGCTCCGCATTCTTCCCACCATTTGAAGCACTGAATCATTCTGAATGTTGCACTGTTTCAATGTCTGCTCCCACTGCAACTGCTTACCTTGATAAACTAATCTTTGCACCGAACTCGGTATCCCGGTAACATTCTGGATTTTCTCGTGCAACCTTTCAACTGTATCATCCAAATTCGCGCGCAAAATAAGGGAATTTCCACCAGAAATCAATCTGACAAAGAATTGAAGCTGATGAGACCCCATCAAATCGCAGGAAATCCCACTCGATTCGCCTCGGAAGCAGAAATCATTACCCTTAGGTAATTCATATTCAAGATGATCATCATGAATTACGGATTTTTCCTTGCAATTGGTGTTCGAATTCGAATTCTTGCAAAATTGAGAGACGGGAGAATCGTAATCTTCCAGTTTGCGCTTCAAAGGAGGACGATCAGATTGAAATGGTTGGTTTGTCGGAGTTGTACCGACGGATGACATTGAAATGCAAAATTCAGCAAATTGAATGAGGAGGACGACGACGATGATGATTGATGATTATCATTCGAGAAATTGGGATTGAGAATCAAGAATGATGGGGAAAAGAATCAAGATTGAAAACCCTAGAATTGAGAATCGAGAAGTGTATATAAGTTAGGGTTTAAGAGAATTGGGGAATTGGAATTGGAGTGATGGAATTGATTAAAATAGAAAAGAGAGTGAAAATGATCAATTGTGTTTGGGTGCTGATGCGTCGAGCTTACATGGCAGAGACCAATTCACCAATGACTCAGCTTCCTAGTCTCCCTCGACTTAATCCGCGTCATTATGTTACAAGATTTAAAGCCCGTGTGATTAAAGAATTTTATTTAATTATGGGATTTTTTAAATTGCCTTTTAAGAATGACCCGTTATTAGATATTACGTACGGAAATACCCGTAGGGCCTGTTCACATTTACTGAACTGAATTGAATTGAATGAAGCTGAATTGAACTGATTGGAGCTGAACTGAATTGAATTGAAATGAATATTTTATGAGAAAGGAAAATTATGAGTTGAACTGAACTAAACTAAATTGAATTGAATTGATTAGAGCATAACTGAACTGAAATTAAGTAAATGTGAACAGACTCGTAGTTCCTTATATCTAAATTTTACATCTCACATGTTTGCATTAGTTTAAAATAAGGCGTAACCGAGAAAATACAAGTGATCTTCATGACAAAAAAAAAAAAACTGGTTGCATTTATGTAAATAAGTCAACAACGTTTATTAAATATATCTCACAATTGTTATTTTATTTACGAAAATAACATGTTAATTGAGATATTTTATTGATTTATTTGTAAAAATATCATTAAATAAATGATTTTTGTTTATCATATTAACTCGGACTCCCTCGTCATGAACCATTATTAACCCAGCAAACCTAGGTACAATACAAGTCTTAGAACCATAAGTTCCTAAGAGTAACACATTATGAATCACATAGGAACACTTATCTTTCCGGACGTTTTAGGAAACTAAGCTTCGTTACGAAATTAATTACAAAAATGGTTGCGTGGCAAAAGTATTTACAAAAATAAGCTTCTGGGGTAAACCGCTGCCTCGGGCAGCGTTTTACTTTCTATTTTTTTAAAAAAAAAATTCTGCTACAAAAACGCTGCCCCAGGCAGTGTTTTTATAGTTTGACTTTTTTTTTTCCTCGTTTATTTTTTTTAAAATTAATTAAAAAAAAAGGCAACAACATAAAACGCTGCCCCAGGCAGCGTCTTATGCTTAAACATAAGACGCTGCCTGGGGCAGCGTTTTATCTGTATATGTTTACAGGTAAAACGCTGCCCCAGGCAGCGTTTTACCTGGTTGGCCCAACCCTCAACATCCTTCCAACACCACCCCCAACCTCCTTCCACCACCTTCAACCCCTTTCCACTACCGCCCTCCACCACCACCGCCTTCCACCACCTTCCACCACCTCCAACCCCTTTCCACCACCGCCCTCCACCACCTCCAACCATCACCTCCACCACCTTCCACCTTCCACCACCACCGCCTTCCACCACCTCCAACCACCACCTTCCACCACCACCTCCAACCATCACCTTCCACCACCGCCTTCCACCGACTTCCACCGCCTTCCACCACCTTCCTCCACCGCCGTCCACCACCTTCCACCCCGACCTCCCACCACCACAACCACCTTCCAACAACCGTCCACCACCACCTCTAACAACCTTCCACCATCACCACCTCCAACAACCTTCCACCTCACACCACTACCTTCCACCACCACCGTTGACAAGTCAATATATACATAAATCAAAACATATTGGGAAACAAAGAACATAACACACAAATGTTGACCGAAAAAACATTTATTATATTAGAAATGTAAATGTTATATACCTAATCTATACAAAAATTTTACTACATGAAATAACTAAGCTAACACTATCCCGATTCATCTATCCGGGGCAATTGATCTAGGTCAGGTTGCTTGGCCCTCTGTCTGACACGTCGCCGCCTGTAATGAGTAATGGTGGTGAATGGGTCTAGAGGCGGCGGGGGAGTCAGCTGGCTGGTATCTGGCACCTCCTGGGAGCCGGACGGCGCAGTGCTGTGGAAGGTGTAGTCCTCTGAGAATGTCGGCGTCGTAAAATCACCTCCACAACTACTCTGTCCGAGCTCGAACTGCGAATGCATCGAGTGGCCATCATATGTGTCCCATTGGGGGACGAGGTAGTCGTGTCCATATCGACGCAAGCTGGCCATGCCCATATCCCGAACCCGCTGGACCTCGTTCCCGGTGGGCCCGTCAGCCAGGCTAAGGGACAGCGCGTCAACCATCGATGCCATGTCTGCCGCCTGCAATAATCATTGATCAGTTATGCATAGAAACCTAAAAAGAGATGAAAATTAATCGGTTGGAAGTGAAACTCACATATCCATAAATCACGTCATATGCTGGATGGTAATGGGTGGAGGGAGGTGTGTAGCTGGGGTTGATGAAACGCCGGGTAATCCGCTGGTACCTGACCATGTACGGATCGTGAGGCTGGAGGACGCCCTGCATCGGTACACCGCCCACAACGAACTCCAGTCGGCGATGCCAGAGCTCTACGTACGCACGATGCTCCACCGACCAATCCGTCTCTGCCTTTCCTCGTCGGTCAACCCTGTGCAAACGAGTGCTGGTGTCACATGGCTGAGGGACCGGCTGACGTATCCCATATTGCCGCAAGACCCGGTCAGGGAGGTGACTCTCCACAACCTCAAAATAGATCACCGGGGTCCGAGCACGCCACTCTGCCTCATGCTCCAGCAAATGACCAGGCATGGCCTCCACTAACTCAGGAAGGTACGGATCCCATGTCACCTGCACATACACATCAAAAAAACGTCAGTGAACGCTAAACACATCAGACAGTAGAATAATGAGTACAAGTGAAGAAATACCTGGTCCTCAGTAAGTCGATCGAAGGCGTCTCGGAAGTACGGTAGACTCCTCGCCGCATGGGAAAGTGTGAGTCTAGGGGCAACCCACCTGCATCCGTATGCCTCGTCAGGTGTGAGGGGGAGCGTCGTACGCCTGGTACTTCTCGTCTTGATCCAGCTCCCCCGGTCGATGCCTGACTGGCCTACCTGGCCGCCCGACGTGGAGATGCTCCCAAGACCAGAACTGTTACACGAATTAAAACGTAAGTGTTTACTATTCATCTATTAAACTATTACACTAATTGGTGAGTTACCTGAAGGACGACCAAAGGACCTCCGATCTCGATTGCACCACGGTGGGACGCTCGGCATAGATGGCGATATAGTATCGCCAAACAAGCACTACCCCAGCTGTACGAACGGATATGGTCCCAGTCGCTGTCTAACACTTGACTTGGTACCTCGTAGCATCCAACCGCATTTCTTCTTGCACCGCAAATACAGGACACTCTCATTCGATGTCACCGTAGTGTACAGTTGATTCTTTTGTATGGAATACAGCTTCACCATTTCTAGGAGCATTTTCTTACTTTCAAAGAACATGCCCTTCTCAAATTCTCCACCGGGAGCAAAAGATGGACGACTGCCTGCATCAGTCCAATACGGATCAACTTCATAGTCCTCATTTATCTCATTGAACCAAGGTACGGGAGTTCTGACCAAGGGCTCACCAACTTCCATGTCTCCGAGTTCAACATCCATGTTCCGAAGTACGTCTGCCTCCTCTCCGCTCTCGGCCTCATCATTTGTGTACACATCATACACAGACAATTCGTTATTCACAACTGTGTCAAGATGAACCGCAACTAGTTCAGTCGGCGAAGCTCGAACATCATTTTGCACAGGTGTATTCCTATGCAGGTGCATCGGTGAAGAAGTGACGATGTTTGATGTCGAAGACCCAGGTTGCCCGGCCATTGCTGTATACGTCGCCCCATGTACAGGTGAAGCTATGTGAGAGCTGAACGGCATGTGAAATTGATCGTCGTTCAACATTCGACTAAAAGATCCCATCCCATATTCAGCCGGGGGAGTGTCGTGTGAGGGCACTTGCGGCTGTGTGTTGTTACCGGAAATAAATGTAGAATGTGGTTCTGCCCTGGTACTTTGTTGGGTACAAATAGGCACCATCTCCACATAAATCTCGGTGGGAACACCCTTCAACGCTACAACGCTCCTTAAAGCTTTCAAATGCTTATTCGAGGACACAGGTAACACTTGAACCCCATTCCCGGTCTCAGACCTCATTTTAATGTTTAGTTCAACACTCCCCGGGTTTGAACTAACGCTACTATGAACCTCGTTCATGAAATCACTGAAGGTCATGTTCGGTTCAAGTGTTAGTGGTTCCATATTTCCACCATTATACTCGACACGAGGTCCGTCAAACAAAAATTCACCTCCCCACCGGCACAACAAAACTACATTCTGTGCGGCCATATTCTACACAACAACCAAAACACATTACACTAAAACACACTAATCCATCTCTAAATCACATCCAACTAACCACTTTGGAACAACTAAGCATCACTAGGTCACCATTAACAAGCAATAATTCTAGAAATTCAAATACTTAACATCTTCAATATTTCAACACCAACAATTCTACATTATCCAAATTAATATTTAACAATCACAATTCATCAACTCAACCCTAAACCCCTAAATTCAACAAAAACCCCCAAAATTCAACATAAACCCTAGAAATTCAACAATTCAAGAAATTCAACAATAACCAATAATTCAACAACACTAACCAACAATTCAACAACACTAACCAACAATTCATGAATTCAACAACACTAACCAACAATTCAACAACAATATCCAACAATTCAATAATTCAACAACACTAACCAACAATTCAAGAATTCAACAAACATAACGAACAATTTGTAAATACTCAACTAATATTTAACCATACCTTGAATTGGATGTAATACGAAATTGGGTTGAAGAGGATTGAAGAGGAAATTTGGGAAGGGAAGGAAGAGGATTGCGAAGGAGGCGAAGGAATGAAGAGCAAACGTGATTGAAAACGAAGCTCGAGTTTCTAGTTCTACAACCAGACAGAAACGCTGCCTGGGGCAGCGTTTCATTAACAAGATAAGACGCTGCCTGGGGCAGCGTCTTATGTTTAAGCATAAGACGCTGCCTGGGGCAGCGTTTTATGCTGTTGCCTTTTTTTTTTTTAATTAATTTTAAAAAAAAATAAACGAGGAAAAAAAAAAGTCAAACTATAAAAACGCTGCCTGGGGCAGCGTTTTTGTAGCAGATTTTTTTTTTTTAAAAATAGAGGGTAAAACGCTGCCCGAGACAGCGGTTTACCCCAGAAGCTTATTTTTGTAAATACTTTTGCCACGCAACCAAATTTGTAATTATTTTCTTCGGGAAGCTTAGTTTCCTAAAACGTCCTATCTTTCCCATACTCTCCCACAGTCCCATTTCACCTTTCTTGTCCTAAAACCCTTAAACCCTCGTCAAATCCCAAAATCAACTCCCAATTTCAGCCATGGAAACCCCAAATCAAGCTCATCTTCAAGAACAACAATCATCCTTGCTTCCCATTGACATAATCACTCAAATTCTGCTGTATCTCCCTCCAAAACCTCTTGCTCGCTTCAAATCTGTCTCAAAATCCTTTCTTTCTTTAATCAACGATCCAAAATTCATCCTCAATAACATCAAGCAATCCCTCTCTTCCTCCTCCAATCTCTCTCTTGCTTCTCTTTCTCAACCAAAACCCCATAATCATCTCCATATCCTGCACCTTCATGCACCAGATTCCTCCACCCCACCTTCAATTTCCAACCTTTCTCTTCCATTTCACCCTAAAACCCATGATTCTGACCTTATTGGGTCCTGCAATGGCATTCTCTGCATTTCTGATTTCCCTGATTTTCTGGGTCTTTTCAATCCTACCACTAGAACTTTCCAGAAGATTCCACTGGGTTCTTTGGGGGTTCAAGAGTTCAGGGAGTCTCATTGGGTTGATTTCGGATTCGGGTTCGACGAAATTGGCAATGATTACAAGATTGTTAGGGTGGATCAGCTGCATAATGTCAACCAAGATGAGGGTTTAGCTCCTAGGGAAGTTCAGGTGTTTAGTTTGAAGGCAAATTTGTGGAAGAAAGTTGAGAACTTTCCTCATTTTCTCTCTCATCCTAAGTCCCATGGTAATTTCCTCTGTAATTCTTTGCATTGGATTGCTACTACTTCTGATCCTGTTGTGTTTGATTTAACTGGTGTTTTATGGCGTGGGCAATTGGATGATTTTGTTTATGATTATGTAATTGTTGCATTTGATCTTAATTTAGAGAAATTTAGGGTCTTACCTTTGCCTGATTATGAGGAGGGGAAGAAGTTGAAGGTCCCTCGTTTGTCTGCTGGGGTTTTAGGGGAATGCTTGTTTGTACAGGTTGAACATGGGGCCCGCTTTAAGCGTTGTGTTGATGTTTGGGTGATGAATGAATATGGGGTGAAAGATTCTTGGACTAAGCTGTTGACTTTTCGACATGAGGAGATTCGGGGTGAGTTGTTGCCGGTTAAGACCTTGATGATGTCGAAAGGGGGTGATGAGGTTTTGATGCAGCAAGGGAAGGATTGTTTTTGGGTGGAATTGAAAACTGGAAAAACTAGGGATGTTCCAATGGACAGTGGTTTGCCTTTTAAGTTTGAGTTAGTTTGTGGGCATAAGTATACTTTTGGGGCGGTGACTTACGTGGAGATCCTTGTCTGTCTTGGCTGCCGTGATGGATGCGTAGAGAGTGAGCAGGCTAGCAATGGTGGTAAGCAAGATGATGGAGGTAATAATAATCTAAGAGCTTTCTGATTTGACTGCTGTTAACAACTGCTGATTTTGTCAAAATATGTCCTGAATTGCTAATGCTACTCTTTGTTTTGATTGCATATTTTCTAAGTGATTGTGAACTTAGGTTGTAAATTTGTGATTGGGTGTTGTATTCGTTATCAAGTACAAAAATAAATAGATTAGACTTGCCACATATTTTAAGCTGGGGTAAAAGATACTGGGAAGCTTTGAGCAATCTTGAGGGCCACTAGTTTGGTTGATCATGAGGCATAAGATGTGCAACAAATATATGTTACTTGTATTTCATTTTGATAATCATAGTTTTGGCTTCTTTGTTTGTTTTGCAGTTCAAAGTTGTTAGTTGTGTATAAGTTTCAGTTCCTTGGTGTTTGATGAGGAGTTTTGATATTGTCGTGGACCTTTTCTTCTTGCTAATATTAGCTTGTTTATAAATATGGCTGGTTGACCACCCACTAGTAGTGGAAAAGAGATCTAGGAAACAGGACGATTTTTAGAGTTATATAGCCAACTCCCTGGGCCAATAATTATCTACTATGACCCTTACCAATTTACCATTATCACGTGATTACATGATGAGCACAAATCTGAAAATTTATATAGTAATATGACATAGTAGCAGCCTATAAGTATTTTTTTTCCTGTGATTGTTTGGTGTAGCACATTGCTGTGAAGGACCTTCTTCAACAAAAGATTGAGGTCTTGGAGTACCTTACAAGTTTCGTATAATGAACACATATTGAACACATATTGTAATGACTTTTGGTGTTGCTAGAATACCCTCTAGGTACCGATAGTACGCACTAGTTTCTAAAAATAGAATCTAAATCTTCTATTCCACGTATATGTCCCACATTTTCACCAAATATCTTATAGGTTTGTATTACTAAACATGCCCCATTACATGTTACGTAGTATATAGACTATATTACCAAACAGTTTTGTTGAAGTAACTCCTGTGGTATGGTATACCTTAAGGTGTTCCTCAGTCATTGAGTGGAGTTCATTGTGTTTTCTATTTCTAAACCACTTCTTTTGTTGTTGTTGAAGATTGTTCTTCATAATTGGTCTTAAGAGTAACAAGAAACTGCGCTAATTCAGTAACTATAAACTATTGAATGATGTTAACGCTCAACTTTAATGGGAATATGCTTCATTCTTATAATCTTATTGCATTATTCATTAATAAAATTCACTTAAATCACTGAGAGTACTCAATTCAAATACTCGAATTGCTTTTTGATGTTTATGTTTAAAGTTTTGGACAATGGTTGATTTAGTGGTCAATACTCAGGTCGTTGGGGTGATTGGCTGATTGCTGGGAATTGCTGCTGTGAGTTTTTGAAATTTAATAATGTTTGAGTCAAGTTGTATGACAGTTGAGAAGTACTATTTTAACAGTATTAAAAATAGATCTATTGCATGGAGACTATATAAATCATCTATCTCATGTTTTATATCCCTTTGACATTTCAGGTGCTGAAGCCAAGAACTGAGGAGTGGATTGTAGCAGCCTTGAATTCGTCTACTCTCACCTTTGTGAAAGAAGCAATAGGCAAACAGCAACAAAAAGCCTGTGTGGTGTTCAACACGGTGCTGTTTGTTATGTTGGTAGCACTAATTCATATCAAACCTGCTCTATAGCAATCTGTGACATATCTAGTGGAATATCAGACTTGCATTATGTTAAGCTATTAATATGCTGAGTTTATGTTTATGACAGGGAGCATATAGATTAATTTTATGTTTGTAGTCATGTAATGCGATCATATCTACCACTTATTAAGCTATTGAGGATTCATTTAGCTGCTAAATGAAAAGAAATTTAAATTGATCTGAAGCGTTTTCTTGTTTTATAACTTTACTCCTTTTCAGTCAAGAAATTCTCAATTACTCATATACTATGCAATTATGCATCTTGTTATTATATATATTGTCCTTTGTTGGAATAAAAGCTCATTCCCTAGGAGTACCTATTCATTACTTTGTTGAAGGACCAAATGAACTCAACTTAGCTAGTCTTTTTTAGGGTTCAATGTCATGCCATATAAATGCCTAGGATTGCATACATCTGCAAAACCAATACAGTAACTTTTCTTATTTTACATACAAATATACATTGATTTATTATCTGAGAGTACTTATTCAAGGGTTTATCTAACATCTTTGCCTGAAAAACTCAGTTTTGGCTTACAATAGTAACCCATATGATATATAACTAAAGAAGGAAAGGGTTAGGGTAGGAAGAATAACAAGAGCTTTTTCTTCGAATTTGTCAGGTGCTGAAGGTCTGAAACCAAGAGGTGATGAACAAAATTCCAATCCTATTATTTTTTTGTCGGTTGATTTGGTTTATATACCCAATATACTGGACTGCAACTTATTACATTGAACTGATAGTATCAGACTTGCTTTATGTTTTTCTATTAGCATGTTGTAGCTAAATATGTTCAATGAAACCTACATGACTATAAAGATATGAGGAAATCATTCCTGCACTTTGTGAAGTAATCAAGGATTTATTTTAATTGCCTATAGTTATTTGTTGACAGAGCCAATGAACTCAAGTTTGTTGATTCTTTTCAGGGTGAACTGCCTTAAAAATAATGTTTGAAACAATTTAGTGCAATGGCGTCTATATTAATTATTCACTACTGACCTACTATGGTTTGACATGTTAACCTTAGATTCATTTAGTGCTCTTTTGTAGCAGAATAATCAATCATCCAGGAAAAAAGTTGTATTTATATATCTGTAATGAGTAGACTCAGCAGGAGTGCTAGTGAAGACCTATGTTCTTGAAAAACTTCTGACTATTGCATTCCACACACATGCAATTTTGTTGGAGTTTGCTGTGTTTTATAAGTTTTTTCCTTAATGGCAATTGGAGGTCCTTGGGGTGCTATCGATGGTGATTGGTGAGTGTCCATCACTTGATGGTTTGTCATTAGTATGTACTTTGGATGATTATCAGTTTTTGTGTATGTATTGGCCAATGAGAATAGCATTGAAAAGACTGATAGATCAGAGGAAATTGATGAGCCTGAAAAAGTGATTGTAGAAGGTTAATAAATGTTTGAAGAAGTTTTGGTTGATAAAGATAACTAGGAGAAACATCCAGAGAAGACAAGGAAGATATGCAGGGTGCAAGCCCTCAGAAAGACTCATCCAAGGAGGTGAACATTTTTAATACACCTATTTATAGGTTTTTATTTTTGAAATAGTTTCGGTACTTATAGTTCCTGTATCTCTGTATGCATGCTTACTTTTCGTTATTCAGTCTTTTGTATTTTCTTTAGTTAAGAATCTGAATTGGCTTCTGTTGTCCAAAGTTTGAGCTGTGTTGAACTCAGCACTCTGCAGAGCTTGTCAAATATTCATGTTGTGACAATTTTCGTTCTTATCATGATTAGGAGGGTTGGGTGGTAGTATAGAACAAAATTCCAGTCTTTTGTTAATTGAGCTGGTGTTGCATTCCCTAAAATATACGTTGTAATTGGTCCTAGCCTTTTTCCAGTGCATTTTGCGAAAATCCTGCCTGTATTCTGCATTGCCTTATCACGTGCTATATTTGTTTCTAATCTAGGATATTGAACTATGCAGGAAAGATTGATGATACTGAGCAGAATTAGAAATGGGCTGTTGAGCAAGGTACAGCCATGCACAGGAAATCAAACTGCAGAAGATAGCTCCAATTATGTTGAGAAGACTAGTGGTGAAGCAGAGGCAAGCAAACCATAGGAAGTAAGAGTTGAAGGTCTGAGGAGAAAAAGAAAAACAAAACACTTCAGCCGAAATAGCAGCAGTGGGCCAAGAATCACTTTAAGTGCCGTACCGGAACTTTCTTATAGACGAGTCTCCTCGTATTAGTTCCTCATACAGAGTATCTTGTTTGCTGATGATTCTTGTTAGGCTCTTCAATCAAAATCGAGTTGGCTACCTCAGGGTAAGTTTGTAATCTTCCTCAGCCTGACATGAGTTTTTCTGGTACTGTTGACTTTGTTGTTAATTTGCTATCGTGGAAATGTGTTCGTGTTCAGGAGTAAGGTCTGAGATTTGCTTGTTCATTGCCTCGACTAATTTCTCTCCCACCGGGACTTCAAGGTTTGAACATGCCTTTGCTGGTGCATATAATTAAGTATCTTGTTGAGTTTATGATGAAATGGTAAAAGGGACTTGTGCTGGTTGCTCTATTGGAAAGCAATACAAGACGAGATGAATGCTTGTGGTATGAGAGAAGCTAGTGAGAATGTCTCCTTACATTTGTATTGACAAGTGATTGCTGCTCTGAAGTAGGCTTCTCTGCAGCTGTACGGATTATACCACCCCAGCATATGCATGTTCTTGCCCACATCTGATTGTAATCCACATCAAGGCTTCGGAACACATGTTCCTCTTGCTGCATGACTTTGTCAACGATTAAGGCACAACTACATGATGGTCGCAGGAATTGGTTGGAATCCCTCAACTAGAACCTGGTACCCCATCAATGTCCACTCCTCCAATTGACAAGAAAGAGTGATTTTGGCTTCACGGGTTCAAGGTTGGGTCTGTGTCATCTCAAATCAAGTTTTCGTACCCAGCCTTAAAGCTATGAAGCCCTTGTAATTTCCCTCAAGTAACTCCATGGTATATTTGAGTGCTTTGTTTTGGATAAATTTGTGTGCACGTTGTGCGTGTGTTATATTTCTATCTTTTATACATCAACTAGAGCTGTCAAAAGTTGACCCGACCCGAAAAAGCGACTCAAACCCGATTATTAACCGACCCATCTGAACCCGAATAAATGGTGACCCAAACCCGACCTGAAACCAACCGTAGACCCGAGTTGATCCGAGTATGTGAGACTCGAACCCGAACATGAACTGACCTGGAGTTGACCCGACTCGAATGTAACCCGTAATTATTGATCTGAACCGAAATCGACTTAAATCGAAAATGACCAAAACCCGTTTTAACCCGTCAAAACTCGAATTTAACCCGACTTATTACTAACTTGACCTGAAATCAACCCGACCCGTTCCAAACCCAATCCGAATTTAACCCAACCTGTTACAAGCCCGGTTGAAATCAACCCGACTTGTTATTGACCTAACCCGAATTTCACCAGACCTATTACTAACCCGACCCAAAAATTCAACCCGATCTGTTACTAACTCGACTCGAAATCAAAATGACTTGTTATTGACCCGACCTAAAGTCAACCCAAATTGTTCCTGACCTGATATCAAATCACCTTAAATGCAATTTAGACCACCTTATTATTGTTGATCAAAGCATTTTGTCTAGGGAGACCAAGTTAGTTCAGGCAGCAAAAGAAATGAGCATCATCCTCAAATTTAAGAGTTAAATATAGTATATATTTGTTGTATAGTCAAAGGAGATAATTATCTTCCTAAATTATAGACTATAGTTCCTTAGTATATTGCCATATATATTATTGTCAATGGAAATAATTAGCTTGATAAAAATGATAATTATCTATTTATAGTTGATTGAACCCAAATATGAACTGACTTAGACATGACCCAACCTGATTGTAACCTGCAAATAATAGACTTGAACATAACCCGACTTGAATCCGAGAATGACCCGACTTGGAAATGACATAACCTGATTATAACCCGCAAATTATTGCATGAATCGAACACGACTAGAACCCGTGAATGACCCGACTTGAAAATGACCCGACCTGATTATAACCCGTAAATTATTTACTTGAACCGAACCTGATTCAAACCCGAGAATGACCAGACCTGATTCTAACCCGCAAATTATTGACTTGAACCGAACCCGACTCGAACCCGAGAATTACCCTAACCCGTTTTCACCCGTGAAAACCCGAATTAAACCCAACCTATTGTTCACCTAACCCGTATGTAACCCGACCTGTTATTAACCCAAACCCAATCAGAAGTATGACTCGACTCAAGCATGACCAAACCCAAGCCCGTCCCGCATATGTTATGGAATTAATCCGAATTAACCCAACTCCAGTTGACTAGACCCACTCTTACCGACCCAAACCCGACTCGTTTACCCAAATTGAAAGCTCTACTCGAAACCTCCAAAATTTCTCAAAAAACATGGATATAAGCCTTCAATTTTGGAATTTTTTGACTTTTTTCACTCGGAAATAAAAATTGCCGAAATGTTTACCATAGTCTCTAATACCCTCCAGGAGTCCAATTGACTGAGTGTAACCATTCATTTTGCCTTTAAACGACCAATTTACCGGTTTACAACTTGCACCGATTTCAATAACTCAAATCTATCACGAATATTTATGACAACATATAATGATCATATATGGTTCCAAACAGTATTATATGACCCCGAATGTATCCCCTAAAATCTCAATACTTTTTGACACCGGGTCATTAAACATTCAAAATTTCTCAAAAAACGTGGATATTAGCCTTCAATTTTGGAATTTTTTGACTTATTTTAGCCCAAAAATAAAAATTTCCAAAATGTTTTCCATGGTCCCTAATACCCTCCGGGCGTCCAATTGGGTGGGTGGAAGTATTTAATTTGCCTTAGCTTTAAACAACCAATTTATCGGTTTACAACTTGCACCGATTTCATTAATTCAAGCCTACAACGAACATTTATCACAACAAATAACGATAATATATGGTTTCAAACGGCATTTATGACCCCGAGATGTATCACCTAGAATTTCAAGACTTTTCGACACCGGGCCCGAATTCTCCAAAATTTCTCAAAAAGCGTGGATATTAGCCTTCAATTTTGAAAATTTTGACTTTTATTCGCCCAAAAATAAAAAGTCAAAATGTTAATCATGATCCCTAATACTGTCTAGGAGTCTCATTGGGTGGTTGGAACCATCCAATTTGCCTTTAAACGACCAATTTACCGGTTTACAACTTGCACCGATTTCATTAACTCAAGCCTACCACAAACATTTATGGCAACAAATAATGATCATATATGGTTCCAAACGGCATTATATGACCCCAAGATGTATACCCTATAATTTCAACACTTTCGACACCGGGCCCTGAAACCTTGTAAATTTTTCAAAAGCATGGATAATTAGTCTTCAATTTTGGAATTTTTTGACTTTTTTTTGCCCGGAAAGAAAAATTGCAGAAATGTTTACCATGGTCCCTAACACCCTCGCGGAGTCCAATTAGGTTGGTGGAACCATCCAATTTTCCTTTAAACGACCAATTTACCGGTTTACAAAATTGCACCAATTTCATGAAATCAAGCCAACCACGAACATTTATGACAACATATAATAATTATAAATGGTTTCAAACGACATTATATGACCCCAAGATGTATCCTCTAAAATTTCAAGCCTTTTCGACACTGGGTCTTGGAACCTCCAAAATTTCTCAAAAAGCGTAGATCTTAGCCTTCAATTTTGGAATTTTTTCTGATTTTATTCTCTCGAAAATAAAAATTTCCAAAATATTTACTGTGGTTCCTAATACCCTCCGGGAAGCCAAATTAGGTGGATGAAACCATCCAATTTGCCTTTAAACTTCCAATTTACCGGTTTACAACTTGCACCGATTTCATTAATTCAAGCCTACCACGAACATCTATGTCAACATATAATCATCATATGTGGTTCCAAAAGGCATTATACGACCCCCAGTTGTATTCCTTAAAATGTCAAGACTTTGCGACACCGGGCCTTTAAACCTTCAAAAATTTTCAAAAATCGTGAAAATTAGCCTTCAATTTCGGAAAATTTTAACTTTTTTTCGGTTCGAAAATAAAAATTGTCGAAATAATTACAAGGTCCTTAATACCATCCGGTAGTCCAATTGGGTGGGCGAAACCATCCAATTTGCCTTTAAATGACCAATTTACCGGTTTAAAACTTGCACGATTTCATTAACTCAAGCCTACCACGAACATTTATGACAACAAATAATGATTATATATGGTTTCAAACGACATTATATGACCCCGAGATGCATCCCCTAGAATTTCAAGACTTTTCGACACCGGGCCTCGAATTCCCCAACATTTCTCAAAATGCGTGGATATTAGCCTTCAATTTTGAAATTTTGACTTTTTTTTGCCCGAAAATAAAAATAGCCAAAATATTAACCGTGATCCCTAGTACTGTCCAGGAGTCCCATTGGGTGGTTGGAACCGTCCAATTTATCTTTAAACGACCAATTTACCGGTTTACAACTTGCACCGATTTCATTAACTCAAGCCTACCACAAACATTTATGGCAACAAATAATGATCATATATGGTTCCAAACGGCATTATATGACCCCAAGATGTATACCCTATAATTTCAACACTTTCGACACCGGGCCCTAAAACCTTATAAATTTTTCAAAAGCATGGATAATTAGTCTTCAATTTTGGAATTTTTTGACTTTTTTTTGCCCGGAAAGAAAAATTGCAGAAATGTTTACCATGGTCCCTAACACCCTCGCGGAGTCCAATTAGGTTGGTGGAACCATCCAATTTGCCTTTAAACGACCAATTTACCGGTTTACAACTTGCACGGATTTAATTAACTTAAGCATACTACGAACATTTATGACAACATATAAGGATCATATATGATTCTAAACGGAATTATATGAACCCGAGATGTATCCCTTAAAATATCAAGAGTTTTCTACGCTAGGCCCCGAAACCTCAAACAAAATTTCAAAAACTTGAATATTAGCCTTCAATTTTGGAATTATTTGACTTTTTTTCACCCGGAAATAAAAATTTCCTAATGTATACCATAGTCCCGAATACCCCCCGAGAGTCCAATTGGGTGGGTGGAACCATCCAATTTGTCTATAAACGGCCAAATTACCGGTTTACAACTTGTACAAATTTCAATAATTCAAGTCTACCACGAACATTTATGACAATAAATAATGACCATATATGGTTCCAAACGGCATTATATGAACCCGAGATGTATCCCATTGAATTTAAAGAATTTTCGACACTAAGCCCCGAAACCTCCAAAATTTCTCAAAAACTGTGGATATTAGCCTTTAATTTTGGAATTTTTTTGACTTTTTTTCGCTCGAAAATAAAAATTGCCGAAATTTTTACCATGGTGCCTAATACTCTCCAGGACTCCCATTGGGTGGTTGGAACCATCCAATTTGCCTTTAAAAGGCCAATTTACCGGTTTACAACTTGCACCGATTTTATCAACTTAAGCCTACCACGAACATCTACGACAACATCTAATCGTCATATATGGTTCTAAAAGGCATTATATGACCCCCAGATGTATTCCTTAAAATCTCAAGACTTTGCGACACTAGGCCTTCAAGCCTTCAAACCTTCAACATTTCTTAAAATGCGTGGATATTAGCCTTCAATTTTGAAATTTTTGACTTAATTTCGCCCGGAAATAAAAGTAGCCGAAATGTTAACCATGATCCCTAATAATGTCCGGGAGTCCCATTTGGTGGGTGGAACCATCCAATTTGCCTTTAAACGACCAATTTGCCGGTTCGCAACTTGCACCGATTTCATTAACTTAAGACTACCACGAACATTTATGACAACAAATAATGATCATATATGGTTTCAAACAACATTATATGACCCCGAGATGTATCCCCTATTTCAAGATTTTTCGACAACGGGCCCTAAAACCTTAAAATTTTCTCAAAAAGCATGGATATTAGTCTTCAATTTTGGAATTTTTTGAATTTTTTTCGTTCGGAAATAAAAATTGT